TTTCCTTCCTCCCTCCCTCCCTCCTCCCTTCCTTCTCGTTTTCCTTCTTCCCTCCCTCCCCTACTCCTTCCTTCCTTCCTTCCTCACCACCTCCTCCTTTCTTCCTTTCCTTTCCCCTCTGCTCCTCTCTTAAAGTTGCTGTGGTTAAGAAACACTCATTTAGGCAACACACCAGAGCTGTTATTCCAATTACAGGCAGTCCTCGACTTAAAACAGTTCGGTTTACAACCACCCTGCAGAAAGCACAGCTGCACAGCACAGTCCTTTCAGCAGCCCCAAGAAGGCTCCACACTCATTTGCACCACTCAGGTGACCCTGGGGACACAGATAAACCTCCAAGTGGACTCGGTGCCCCTCCAAAAGGATGCAAATGACCAGCTGTGTCTGCAAGGAATATAAACCCTTCCATTCCCCACCATCCTGTCAGAGCTGAAGAAGCTTCCTGGATGAGAAGCGAGATGTCTTCAAAGAAAAACCAGTTGCCTCCTGAAAAAGCACCTTCGGGGCAGCCATGACCTGGAGGACTGAGAATCTCCATTGATTTGAGGATTAGTATTGGGTTGGATCTGGTGCAACTCTAGGGAATTGCTGAGGAATACCAATTCAGGCTTGGAAGCCTTAATAAAGACCCCCTTGGGTGTGTGCATGATTGTGGCAGCACACTTTGTGACATACAATCTGGTCCCAACTGTGGTCATAACTTGAGGACTGTCTAGCTACTCAGCAAGTTATTGATCTACCAGTAGGGCTGGTTCCAAAAATCAAGATTAGACTTGTTACTCTTTCTGCAGATGCCATTGGTGTGTGTGTGCGTTTGTGTTTGTGTTTGTTGGGGACAATTGGATTCCTTCCAGGAGCGCGTGGGAGGAATCTCTGCCCTTTTGTCTCCTGAAATGGGTCCCCAGGATCTAATTTCCCTGGTCAGTAGCTCCAGTGATTTAATTCCAAACTTCTAGTAATAGCATATTCTCACTCATGATCTCAGAATACAATATTTTCCTGGAGGCCAACTCAGTGAATGGTGCTTCAGCCATAGAGATCCCTGAGAAACCATAGAGATGTGGCTTGTGGATGCCAGCTCAGAATCATAGAGTTGGAAGGGACTGTGGAGGTCTTCTAGTCCAACCCCATCCTTCACATGGATGTCCTTTCGGCTTCCCAGCTGGTCCTACTGATCCTAAATGCTCCAACACTGGAAGTTTTTAAGGAGAGATTGGACAACCATTTGTCTGGAATGGTAGAGGGTTTCCTGTCTGAGCAGGGGGTTAGACTAGAAGACCTCCAAGGTACCTCCCAACTTTGTTATTCTGTTCTATTCTGTTCCTTACTCCTTATTCCATTCTGTTCCCTATTATTCTATTCTATATTCTATTCCGTTCTAGTCCATATTCCCTATTATTCTATTCTATTTTTATTCTAATCTATTTTTCTATTCTATCCTTATTCCATTCCATTCCCTATTATTCTATTCTATTTCTTATTCTATCCTTATTTTCTATTCTATTTTTTATTGTACCCTTATTTTCTATTCTATTCTATCATTCTCTATTCTATTCTATTTTTTATTCTATCCTTATTTTCTATTCTGTTCCGTTCTATTCTATTTTTTATTCTATTCTATCCTTATTCCATTCCATTCTGTTCCCTATTCCCTATTATTCTATTGCAGAGGTCTCCAAACTTGGCAACTTTAAGACTTCTGGACTTCAACTCCCAGAATTCTGGGAGCTGAAGTCCACAAGTCTTAAAATTGCCAAGTTTGGGGACTTCTATTCTATTCTCTATTATTCTATTCTATTATTCTATTTCTTATTTCTTATTCTATTCTATCCTTACTTTCTATTCCTTTCTATCTTGATTCCATTCTATTCCCTATTCTATTCTATTTATTCTTATACCTTCTATTCTATCCTATTCTATTTTTTATTCTATTCTATTCTTTGTCAGTTGCCTTTCGGAGAAGCACCTTCGGGACGTGTCAAAACTTTGCATTCAGTGTCACGTGGCAGCCATGTTAAATTTGGGGGGAAGGCCAGAACATGCTTGGGGTGGTGGTGCCAGAAGGGGTCATTAAAAACGGGTGGGGGAACTCATCCGGCCAGCTTTCTAGATGCACTTCCAGTCCTTCCCCCACTCCCCAAATGATATAAGAAGAAACTGAGGCCGTTTGACTCCTTTAAGTAATATCCAGAAGGGCAATTTTAAATGGCTTTCTGGAGATCTTGCAACCAGAGGGAGAAAAATGGCATCTTTGTGGTTTTTTATTTATTTATTTTTAAAACTAAAATACCATGGTTTCTGGGCTGGGGGGCTGGAGAAGGAGACAGAAACTCTGAAGCAAAAGGCAGCTGGAGGAGATTATGAATAAATACATTGAAAGGAGTCGAGACCAGCAACGGTCTTGATGGATGCAGGTAAATTTTATATATAGAGATATAGAGATAGAGATAGAGATAGATATAGAGATAGATAGATAGATAGATAGATAGATAGATAGATAGATAGATAGATAGATAGATAGATAGATAGATAGATAGAGATAGAGATGATAGAGATGATATAGATATAGATATAAATATTCTGATTTATTCAGTACAGAGTTTAAAGTAGAAAGAAAGGGAAAATATGTGCTTCAGCTTAAATACAGGTAGTCCTCAACTCACAGCCACAATTGAGCCCAGAATTTATGTTGCTAAGTGAGAAATGTGTTAAGTGAGTCTTGCTCCAATTGATGACTTTTCTTGCCACTGTTGTTAACTGAATCACTGCAGTTGTTTAAGTGAGTAACACGGTTGTTGAGTGAATCTGGCTTCCCCATTGACTTGGCTTGTCAGATACAGTCGCAAAAGGGGATCGCATGACCCCGGGACGCTGCAACCGTCCATCATACATGTGAATCAATTGTCAAGCATCCAAATGTAAGTCACGTGGCCCAGGGGCTGCTGCAACGGTCGTAAGTGTAAACAACGGTCATAAATCACTTTTTCCGGGGTCATGACTTTGAACATTCGCTAAGCGAACTGTCGTAAGTGGAGGATGATCTGTACTGGTAAAATTCATTCTAATTGGGGGAGGGCTTGGTTGGTTTTGACACCCCCACATCAGCTTGTCCACTGGGAGAGGGGAGTCCAAAAAAGGTCATGAGAATGGTCATGAATGCAAAACTTCGACGGATTTGAGAAGATGGAAAATGGTCATCAGTCCCTTGTTTCATTACTGTTATAATTTCGAATGGTCATTAAACGAACTGTTGTAAGACGGGGTGTCAACTCATTAAAAATATTTCTCTGGTCTTTTCGAGTTGCCAACAGAAAGGGAGAGGGGAAATATCATAATTGCAAAATCGAAACTGCATTCCATAAATGTTTTCAAAGATAGTTTCCAAGCAACCGAATTTTCTGCTGTGCAAAATTCTAACGGGAGAGCATGATTGATGACTCTTGGCTATGGAGGTATCCCATTGGAGAATTATGAATTATGATACACCCAGGGGGTTGGGGGAAAACCAGGGTCAAGGGTGACAAGGAATGATGTGTCTCAGTCGGCTGCACCCAGGCAGTGCCGGACACATTAACTCCCAATAAATCTTCTTTAAGCTTTGAAAATCTGGCTAGAGACTCGTGATTTAAATGGGGGTGATCACCGGAGCCCTGACACGGGGATTATTTCTACCCAGATGAAAATCCTGACAGTTGCAAAGTGGGCCATCACAACGGCCAACCCTGAAACAGTCAAAACAACGTTGGATAAACGTATAACAAAGGTGGAATTAACCGAAGCAATTAAGAGAAGTGGCCTGGATGGGCTACCAGCAGAACTATTCAAAAACTTCCAAAATGATCTAAGTACTTCAATGTTGGATGTATTTAATAAACTGTTATCAGAAGCAAAAGTACCAAATTCGTGAACAGAGGCATATATTACTCTCATACCAAAAGAAGACTCAGATTTGCAGCAGATAAAAAAAAAACTACAGACCGATTTTGCTATTGAATGCTGATTATAAAATGTCTGCTTCAATAATTGTGAAAAGATTAAGAAGATTTCCAAATCGATTTATCCATTCAGATCAAAATGTGTTTTTTTAACCTAAGAGACCAATTAAAGAGAATAGGAAATTAATTTTTAACACATTAGAATATTACGAAGCACGCACAGAAAGCATTTGATAATGTGAACTGACAATTCATGTCAACACAATTAAAAGACATGGACTTTTGGGAGAGATTTATTAACATGGTGAAGGTGATATAAACAGTGGCCAACCCAATTTTACAATTTTTTTTTCTGTGTTAAATGAATCACTCTGGTCATTAAGTGAATCTGTGGTTCTTCAGATCTGAAGTCCGCACATCTTAAGTTAGTTTGAGAAACAGTGAGCTGACTTATCGCTCTGGGCATACAATTGGCTGACGTCATCCCATTTTCTTCCATTCTCGAATGGGAAACAGAGTCTTATCTACTAACCTGCATGAGTTCTGGAGTCCCAAAGGTGCTTTTTTTAAAGAGACAACTGGACTTTCTGGTTTTTCTTTGAAGAGGTTTTGCTTCTCATCCAAGAAGCTTCTTCAGCTCTGACTGGATATGAGGAGCGGAAGGATTTATACTCCTTGCAGACAGCTGGTCATCTGCATCCTCTTAGAAGGTCATTGAGGCCACTTGGAGGTTTATCTGTTCCCCATTCAGCTTTCTCGAAGCTGGTAATTGTACAGATTGAGCTTCTCTTGCCTTCTTCTCTCCCTTTCTCTCTCTTCTCCTCCTCAGGTCGTGTGCTTTTCCAGTTTTTTCTTTCAAAACATTTCGCTTCTCATCCAAGAAGCTTCTTTAGTTCTGACTGGATGACAACTGGTCATTTGCATCCTTTTGGAGGGACATTGAGACCACTTGGAGGTTTGTCTGTGTCCTCAGGGTCACCAGAGTAGTGCAAATGGTTCCTGTAGTTTGCAGTTGTTGTTTTTTTCTGGAAATCCATTCCCTCGCACCATTTGAAGGGTGTTCATCCCAAATTGCATAGCTAAACATCAGGTGACCCTGAGGACACAGATAAATCTCCAAGTAGCCTCAATGACCCTCCAAAAGGATGCAAATGACCAGCTATCTGCAAGGAGCATAAATCCTTCCATTCCCCACCATCCAGTCAGAGCTGAAGAAGTTTCTTGGATGAGAAGAGAAACGTCTTCAAAGAAAAACCTGAAACGGCAAATGACCTGAGAACACAGATAAACTTCCAAGTGGCCTCTAAAACAAGGGTCTTCAAACTTGGCAACTTGAAGACTTGTAGACTTCAACACCCAGAATTCCTGAGCTAACATGACTGGAGGAGGAATTCTGGGAGTTGAAGTCCACAAGTCTTCCAAGTTGCCAAGTTTGAAGACCCCCTGCTCTAAAAGGATGCAAACGACCAGCTGTCTGCAAGGAGCATAAATCCTTCCGTTCCTCACCATCCAGTCAGAGCGGAAGAAGCTTCTGGGATGAGAAGCGAAATGTCTTTGAAGAAAAACAAGAAAGTCCAGTTGCCTCTTGAAAAAAAAAGCCACCTTTGGGATAACCATGACTTGGATGTCTGAGAATATCTACAGATGAGTTCTGGAGAAAGATTTGGACCATCTGCGGCTCGGCGTATCGTGATGGAAGCTCTTAAGCACGCAATGTAAACAGTTCTATTCTGGCAAGCTATGATGTGGGGGAAAGTGTGATTAAGGCGTGCTGGCTGTTATTATAGGTTGCGGTTTCTAATCTAACATTCACATTTATTTTTAGAAGATTTATTAAGCCTTAGCTGAGCCGCGTTTTGCTTCAAAAAGCGGGAGGTCAGCTGAGGCACCTTGGAGCAGCCATGAGATCTTGGCGGATTTCCTTAAGAAACCAAAGCAAGTTCCCAAAGGGATGTTTTGTTTTTTTTGTTTCTCAAAAGGCAACTGGACTTTCTTGGGATTTATTTTTTTTCCTTGAAAACATTTTGATCCTCATCCGAGAAGCTTCTTCAGTTCTGGCTGAATGGTGGAAGATGGAAGGATTGATACTCTTTGCCGACAGCTGGTCATTTGCATCCTTTTTAAAGAGTCGTTGAGGCCACTTGGAGGTTTCTCTGTCTCCTCAGGATCACCTGAATCGGAGTGCAAGCGGGCGTAGAGCCTTCTTGGTACTGCTGAAAGGACTACATCACCCCAATAAATTGATGATAAATAAAATGATCGGGAGGCGGAAGTCTGCTAAAACAATCCCTCAACTTATCTAACGTCTGTGTTGTTTCTATTTCTCCCCTGTCTCCCCTCCCCGCTGGCCACAGGTCCCCCACAGTTTATCAAGCACCCCATGGACCAGATCGGGGTGTCGGGAGGAGTGGCGTCCTTCGTGTGCCAAGCGACGGGAGACCCCAAACCCCGCGTCACCTGGAACAAGAAGGGAAAGAAAGTGAACTCACAGCGGTTTGAGGTAAGATAACAGAATGATCGGGTTGGTAGGGGTCTTAGAGGTCTTCTAGCCAGGGGTGGGATTCAGATTTTTTAACAACCAGTTCTGTGAGCGTGGCTTATTTCGTGGGCATGGCTTGGTGGTCATGTGACCGGGTGGACGTGGCTTGGTGGTCATGTTATTGACTGGGCATGGCCAACTCAATATCATTCACATCGAGGCACGCATTTCCTTGCCTGGCCTCTCATGACTGTGGGGATGCTGCAACAGTCGTAAGTGTGAAAAAGGGTCATAAGTCACTTTTTTCAGTGCCATTGTAACTTGGAATGGTCACTCCACACAAGCAAAGGACCAGCAAAGGAGGAGGAAAAATCTCCAGAGAAGTTCCTGAGACAGGAAGTCTAGTCCTGCCAAGAATGTAATAAGGGTTAAGGGAGAGGCAGTTTCTGTAAGCAACACCAGAATGTTTCCTTCCTGCCTTCTTTACAGGATTAGGCCAGTAACTTCTTCTAACAACCGGTTCTCCGAACTGTTAACAACCGGTTCTAGCGAATAGGTGCGAACTGGTAGAATCCCACCCCTGCTTCTAGCCCAACCCCCTGCTCAAAACAGGAGAACCTATACCTATGATGGTGGACCTATGGCACGTGTTCCACCGGTGACACGCAGAGCCCTCTTTGCGGGCATCTGAGCCGTTGTCCCAGCTCAGGTCCAACACGCATGCGTGCAACCCTCCCGCCAGCCACCTAATTTTCAGGTGTCCTGCCTCATATGCGCGGGGGGCGGAGAGCACGGGGGTGCAGGGCAGGCTCCCTGTGTCCCGTTTTGGGCCTAGTAGGCCTCCATGCAGCCTCCTGGGAGCAAAAACGGGCCACGGGGGGATGCATCTCCCAGCACCTGTTTTTGCTCCCAGGAGGCTTCAGGCTGGCCTACTAGGCCCAAAACAGGGCACGGGGGGGGGGGGGGTGTCACGTGCCCATGTGCAGGATGGCAAGGCGAGTGGGAGGGGGTCATGCGTGCATGGCATTATGGATGCAGGCACGCAGGCGCTTTCGGCACACGACGACAAAAAGGTTAGCCATCACTGTCCTATACCATTACAGATAAATGGTGGTCCAATCTCTTCTTAAAAACCTCCGGCAATGGAGAACCCACCACTTCTGGTGGCAAGTCGTTCCACGGGTTAATTGTCCTCATCTGTCCCTCTCCCCCCCCACCCCCCAAAAAGCCGTAGGGAGATCCTGGAAGAATTCCAAAAAGAGAAAGAAAAAAAAAGAGATCAGAGAATCTAGTCCCTTTTCACAGCCGGCCGCGGATTCTGGTTCCGCGGACTTTTAGTTTTACCAATACCGGTTTTCATAAAATAAAATCCCTGTCTCACCAAACCCACTGTCACGAAGTTGGGTGGATGCAAAACTACAGTTATCCTCAACTTACGACCATCGTGAAGACCAGAATCTCCGTCGCTCAGCGATGCGGTCATTAAGTGAGTCAGCAAGGGACCGTGCCCAATTTCATGAAGTATTTTGCTGGGCTCATGAAATGAACCCGGCTTTCTGGACACACAGCTCTGGAAGTTGGTCTGTTGTAAAGATTGTGGTTTTTTACACACACACACACACGTTCCTGGGAAGCTGATCCATTGAAAAATTTGTGATTTTTTTTTTATGCACACTTGCACACATTCCTTGGAAATTAGCTGTATGGAAAGAGGGGTGGATAAATAGACATATATACACTCAGCTCTGGAAAACCGGTCTGTTGCAACAATTGTGGTAGTTTTTATACACACACACACACACACACATACACACACGTTCCTGGGAAGCTCATCCGTTGCAAACATTGTGGTTTTTTAAAATGCACACTTACACACATTCCTTGGAAATTAGTTGTATGGTGGTTTTTATACACACACACCCCTCATGCACACACATATACACACACACACACACGTTCCTGAGAATCTGATCTGTTGCAGAGATTGTGATGGCTTTTACACACACACACACACACACACACACACACACACACACACACACGTACGTTCCTGGGAAGCTGATCCATTGCAAAGATGGTGGAATATTTTGTTTATGCACACTTACACACATTTCTTGGAAACGAGTGTGTGCAAAGAGGGATGGATAAACAGACACACATACACAGTGGGAAGTTGGTCTGTTGCAAAGATTGCGGTGGCTTTTATACACCCACACCCACAAACACACCCACAGACAGACACAGAGACCCGGGACAATGGCTGTGTGCAAAGAAGGGATGGATGGATCTCCTCTTTAATTAATTAAATGGAATTAATTTCCTTCCTCTCTTTCTCTCCCCGATCCAGACCATTGAATACGACGATGGTGCCGGAGCGGTCTTGAGGATACAACCCCTCCGGACGCCCCGAGATGAAAACATTTACGAATGCGTTGCCCAAAATTCGGTGGCGGAGATCACGGTCAATGCCAAACTGACCGTTCTGAGAGGTAAAAAAAAAAAAACCACTTTGAATGAATAAGTCTTCATGTGTCTGGAAGTTGCCCTTCGGAGGTTGAAAACTTTGCTTCTTAATCTGAAATTACTTCAAAATGCAAATGATCAGGCTCAATGCTGCTATTTAAAACCAGCATAATCAGAGCTGGTATGAAGAGGTGTCCTCTTTATGCCTGTGGAAAACTGCCGTGTTTTCCCGAAAATAAGATTGAGTCTTATATATCAATTTTTGCTCCAAGAGAGGCATTAGAACTTATTTTCCGGTTAGGTCTTATTATCAACTCATAAAATATTTCTATGGCCATTTTATACTTGCCAACAGAAAGGGGGGGGGGGGGAAGGGGTTTGAAAGATCAGTGCGGCAGCTTGGAAACTGAAAGTGCATTCCATGCATAGTTTTTCAGAGATTGTAGGGAGGCGACTGAAGTTTCTTCCACTGCAAAAATCTACTTGGAGACCATGATTGATCACTCTTGGCTATGGATGTGTCCCGTTGGAGAATATGAATTATGATACACCCAGAGGGATGGGGGGAAAACCATGGTCAAGGCTGACAATGACAATGAACGATGTGTCTCAGAGTCGGCTACACCCAGGCAGTGCCGGACCTGTTAACTCCCAATCAATCCTTTTGAAGTTTGGAAGTTTGGCTTGAGACTCATGATTTAAATGTGGGTAACTGCTGGAATCCTGACACTTATTTTCAGGGAAATACAGTTCCAAATGTATCCATCCATCTGACAATCTTAACTGGGGCTTATTTTGGAGTAGGGCTTATATTACGAGCATCCTGAAAAAAATCATGCTAGGGCTTATTTTCTGGTTAAGTTTTATTTTCAGGGAAATAGGGTAGCTGTGGTTTACGTCAGAGTTAAATATTTATATGTTTGCAGCTCAGAATGGGGTACGGTAAACATGTATTTTGATGTAGGTTTGTCTGTGGTTGGAATCTACTTTAAAAGTTATAGTTTGCCTTTACGATCTGCTCCTCCCTTTTTTATGATCCAGGGTGGAAAGATAGAACAGTAAATTTGCACAGCTGAATTTTATATCAAATTGCTGCCATCAGATACCAACCAAAATAAAACAAGGGGTGTCTACATTTTTTGCTGTGTTTCTCCAGCTTGGCCACTTTTTAGATATCCCAAAGTTGGAAGGGACTTTGAAAAACATAAAATCATAGACTCCTAAGGTTGGAAGGAACCTTGGAGGTCCTAGAATCATAGACTCCTGATATTGGATGGGACCTTGCAGGCCATAGAATTGTAGGTCCCTAAAGATGGAAGGGGCCTTAGAGGTTGTATAATCATAGACTCCTAGGATTGGAAAGGACCTTGGAGGTCATAGAAACATAGATTTCTTGGGTTAGAAGAGATGTTGGAGGCCACACAATCATAGAGTCCTGTGGTTGGAAGGGACATTGGAAGCCATAGAAACAGTTTTCTAGGTTTGGAAGGGACCTTGGAGGTCAGATAATCATAGACCCCTAGGATTGGAAAGGACCTTGGAGGTCATAGAAACATAGATTTCTAGGGTTAGAAGAGATGTTGGAGGCCACACAATCATAGAGTCCTATGGTTGGAAGGGACATTGGAAGCCATAGAAACAGATTCCTAGGGTTTGGACAGGACCGTGGAGGTCAGATAATCATAGATTCCTTGTGCTGGAAAGGACTATGGAGGTCATAGAAACAGATTCCTAGTGCTAGAAAGGACTATGGAGGTCATAGAAGCAGATTTCTAGGGTTAGAAGGGACCTTCGAGGTCATAGAAACAAACTTTCTAGGGTTGGAAGGGACCTTCGAAGTCAGATAATCATAAGAGAGAGAGGGAGAGGGGGAGAGAGAGAGACAGAGAGGGAGACAGATGGGCTCCAGCATGAATCCGGAAACTCGCTGGCTTTGCTGGCTGAGGAATTCTGGGAGTTGAAGTCCACAAGTCTTCAAGCCCACCATCTTTCTCTCTGTCAGGCTCTTTTCATTGCATCCCCACTCAGAGTGGGTGAGGGTCAGCAACCCACTGAGCCTTCCTCCCCTGTCCCACCCTCCCCGTCTCCTTGCTACTGGCTCCCTCCTGATCCTCCTCCTCTGCCCCCTGCAACCCCCCCCCCCCCACAATTTTTTGCATTCCTTCTACCAACGCGTGTCAAGGCAAGGAACGGTTTTTGATCGGGTGAGCCCCGCGCTCCCCTCATGCTGTTTTCCGCTCTTTTCCACAGACGCCCCTGCATTATGCCCAAAACCGGCGCGCTTGTCGCTCCTTCCCACTCATGCCCAGAAGGTGCGATCCAGGCTATGTAAAGATCTGTATCTGTGGAAGGATGGCAATCTGCGTTTCGAAGCATCATCACTCTCGCACGTCGCCTGCGTCTCCAACTTCCTCCCACACCTAATATTCCCGCACACGGGGGCTTCCTGGTTCCCCGAGTTCAGTTCACGTTCCAGGGGGCAGAAGGAGGAAGGGCACCCCGTAAATGTTGCGGTGTCCTCACCCACTGCGGGGTGGCAGATAAAAAGACCAAAGGAGCCCTGACACGGGGGTGGGGTGGGGTGTGGGCGGGAGAACAGGACAAAACCCCCATTTTTTGTCCTGAAATCCCTGGTTTCTTTCACCCATACTTCGCCATTATTATTTTATAAGTAATTCAAAGTGGTGAATGTAGTGAATACTCTCCTTCCTCTTCCAATTTTCCGCATAACAACCCCCCTGTGAGGTGGGTTGAACTGAGAGAGAATGCTGGTCCAAAGTCACGCAGCTGGCTTTCACGCCTAAGGCGGGACTAGAACTCACCGTCTCCTGGTGATTGGCCCAAAGTCACCCAATCAGCTTTCATGGCTGAGGC